CTCCTATCTCATTCACTAACACTTTAAGAGAACTGCATTGGTTCTCTATCTTTTTTCCCTATCCTTGTAGCTTTGTTAACCTTTCCAGTGACATCAACTTCAAGAGCATTACAAATGCTGCCTTTTTCATTCATATCATGTTCATTCCTTTCCTCCACAATATCTGAGTTTTTTTCCACATTGAAAAATATAAGGTTGTCTGACCTTTTTTCTCGCTCGTAAATTTCATCCAGTGCCAATCCAACAATTTCAATGGTTGTTTGCGAACCAACGGTGAGGTACTAGGATCTCCCTTTTTGATGAAATGTTGGAGTTTCTTATTAGTTGATGCCTCTAGCCTATCAAACCTCTCCTCAAGTTGGGTTTGTCTGAGCTTCACATCTGAGAGACTTTTTAGAAATCCTTTGGCAGTCCGATTGCACTTCTGACAATACCATTGTATGGCACTGTTAGCATTTTGCTGTAGAAATTGATACACATTTTCATTCACCTTTTCACATTCAATGTGGTGCCAGAATTCGCAAATATCACACAGGATTGCATAATCTTCATCAGTCACCAATCTTGAGTATGATCCACAGTAGTTTGGTTCATCTTCATCATTGATTAAAGGAAATACAATATCCTGACCTTTACTCTCCTCATTACACTTCTTGCCTGAATTGGTTTTGCCTTTTGATGCCTTATGTCTATACTATATGTCTATTTGACAAATGCAACACTTCATCATTCGAATTCCACAGCCACTGTTCTAGTCAAAGGGCCCAAACTGGCAATGGGCTTAAGTTGGGCCCGAACTTGTTATCAGTACTGAAAACAAATTTCTCTCTTTTTCGCTGTTTTCACGAAATCGGAGTTCTTCCTTGCATACTGTTCCAGCAGATGACTAATTGTAATCACATGGCCATTCTGTATTCCAGTTATATTCGTGAAAATATGAACTTAAATTCCTTATCAAGAAAAAACGTCCGCTCTCTTCGACAACAACAACATACGCTCTAATTGTCTTGTCTCCCCAAATCCAGTGCTTTATCGGGGATCAAAGTAGAGAGACCCCTCCCCCCTTGTCAACTCGAGGCTATGAGATTGCGCAAATTGCCATCCGGCATTCTTCTTCACGTGTGCATCGACGGGACAACCAGTGTGGTGCAAACTGTATTCAAATCCATTGACGATGGCAGACAAAGTCGACGTAGCTTCGCCTGTCGATGCGCCCCCAGCTGAAGAGAAAAAGTTGAAGGCATGCTGTGCATGTCCTGAAACTAAGAAAGCCCGAGATGAATGGTGAGTTTAAATTTAGCTAAGGTGATAGGCCATCAGTACTGCTTTCGCTTCCTAAGCGTTACTGTAGTTACATAACACTGGTTTGCGTGATCACAGAATAGAAAAGCGTGATGTTATTAAATACGGCACAAAGCTAATAATTACAGTAAACCGCACAATTATATGCTATCTTTTGATTAATTATTTGGTAACGTTTTTTGCAGAACTCTGATTTTGTGTAACATTTTACTGGACAAAAAACCATGGGGCGAGCTTTAAGCCAAGAGCTCATGTTCTTGCTCTTGTTTGTATAAAAGGTACGATGAAAATCTCTTGCTGCCGGTGTCCTTTCCAAGATTTCCTGAAGTTAGATTTCCCAAATGTCATGTTTTGTGGAAAATATACCGAATAATATGGAAAATTTACGAATAATTCGTATTCTCATTGATTTTTACATTTAATTTAATTGATGTAATTGCAGAAGATCTTTTAAAATACTAAAGATAAAAAGCTTGATATTCTGCATGTCTGCCAGAAACAATTTTATGAAAGAGAATCATTCTTTTACTCATTTCCCCTTGTCAAGTATTGCAGAGGCAGACACAAGGTGTCCCAGTACCAATGGTAAATGTTTGGCATTATAATCAACCGATTCATTGGCATCAACTTCCTCAGATTTTGATTAAAATATGATGGCTACTAAAAGATGAAGACTTCGAATAATTGGAATTTGGCATTCAGTGAAATACTTGGAGGCACTGTCTGCATAAATCTTGTTTGGATATCATTTTTATCTAAGAGTTATTTTACATCTTCCTGGATAACAATTAGCTATGTGCAGACAGCTTCATGCATCAGCAGCAAAAAAGTTGATACATCCATGACTCTTGGCTTTTAAATGAGTGTTCAAAAGACATAAAGCTACAACAAATTTCCAACTACAAAACCGATGATGGTTGTGTCCCTTTATACTAGGCAAAAATAAATCTTTGTATTTCCAGTTATACAAAAGCAATGATGGTTATACCAGTTGAAAAAGTTTATGCCTCCTTGACTCTTGGCACTCAAGCGCTTGGCACTCAGTGTTTAACAGGCATCAAACTACAACCAATTTCATTTCATTGTGCACACTTGGAAAATCTGCAGGGCAAGCAATAGTATTTTCAAAAATAAGACTTCTATTTTCTACTTCAAAATTTTCCCAAATTACTCTCTGCAATAATAGATCTCAAATTATTCGTGGGCACTTTTAAACATGATACTAGGTCTGTGGACTTTTTAAATCAAATTTTAGATGTTTTGATGTTAGGAAATTCAGGTGCTTCAAATCAAATCTTAGACAAACTCAGCTCAACAGACTTGTTAGTTTTAGTAAAGGCAACCTACCTGAAAGCCAGAAAAGAATGCCAAGCAGCTACCACAATTTTTTAAATAATGCACTAGGGTATAAAAAGTATTGCACCACCTTGTTACAAATGGTGGCCCTTTTAGTCAACTTCTTGACAATATGATTAATGATACTTGTTTGTAAAAATTTAACTTGCCTAAGGGAGAACAATTGTCAAATGAGAGACCAGTCCCTATAAAATATTCATAGAGAAGTGATCTTTAACTTAAAAAAATTGTATCTAAGTAAGATGCAGTCACACATTAACTGCGAGAAATCAAAAAGATTCCTTGAGAGTGTTACACTAGTATCATATGTTAAGTGTGAATGCAATTATTTAGATCTCAAATCTCAGTTTATCGCATGCTCCTAAATCTTATCTACGATGTGCTAACATGAACATAACTAGGCTAACATAAAGAAGGCTGTTACATGACTACTAGTAACAAAATTGACAAATAGGCGACCAAAAAATTGATGTTAGAGAAGAGGACATTTGTCGGTTTTATTTCACTGTGTTCACACCAAGAGACAGTAAAAGACATGAAATTCTACACTGAGCAAGGTTTTGCAGCTCAAAATTCTCCCAGACAAAATATAACAAGTGTTTTGCCCAAATACAAAAGAAAAGTTTTTCTGAATAAATGAAAACCATTTTTACAAAGATTTATTTCCAAACAAAAGGAACTAAAGCTTTGACATCAAGCCAGAATCAAGTGCAATTTTAAACATTACTGTAAAAGTTTGACTTCAATTAAAAAACATTACAAACCATGATCCAAATGGTCCTCCAAAAACCAGAGAATCATTAATTGTAAGAATTTTTCATGCCTAATTCAAAATTCCAGAAGAATAGATTGCCCAAATATATGCACCCATTTCAAGGTGGCTTAGTGCCGTTTCAAAATTTTGAGGCTACCTTTCAAAATATTGAAATGTGAAACTGTTAAAAGATGTTTGCTACTGTTATTTTTCAAACAAATGCTCTGAATAGATCAAGCTTGAAGTGGTGGTTTGCATTCGACCAATTGCCACTCTCCATCTAAAAACACAATTATTTTGCATAACAGTAGCTTGATCTTTCATGTGCCATTTCCCCTCCTTCAAGGTGGGTGCAATACTTTTGGTATGGTAGTGTATATGGTGAAAAACAGCCTTTATTAAACTAAGCTATTGCTTTCCTTCTGGTTGGAAAAAAATAGTTCATTCATATTACAAATAAAAACTGATGCACAGTTTCCTTAATTACTGGCATGAAATTTTGTTCTCTATTTTTGCCCAGAAATGTTGCACTTATTCTGGCTTTTGCAAGCTTAATTCTTTCTGTTATCATTTAGTATCACACCCTCAAATAATAAAAGGAACTTTCTAGTCAATTTTTGCGATCCCCTTTTTATAGTTAATTTAATGGAGTTGAACCTGCTCATCATGAATGTGCCAATTGTTTTTAACCATCTCCTATAGTTGTTTTAAGTAATTATTTTTATTAGAGGCAGTTAGATCTTCCATTAGAAGCTAACTTTTTTGTTTAAACCTAGCATTGTTGAAAAAGGTGAAGAAAACTGCCTAGATCTTATCGAAGCACACAAGCAGTGCATGCGAGATGCTGGATTTAAAATCTAAAAATTGGTGAGTTTTTGGACACATATTGACTTTTAAAACAACTTTTGAAACAACTTTTGAAACTTTTCAGTAATGGAGCTAGCTGTTGCTCATCTTGTTTGTTATTTATGCTTCCTGCATCATGGTTTTATAATTAAAAGCTAGGTGCAGAAGAAATTTACCCAACATAAAATTTGTAGATGGTATTTAAGTATCTGCACTTTAAATGTCGAATTGAGAATGCAGGTATTCTTTAAATGTTGAAATCAAAATGCAGAAATTCTCCAGTATGACAAAATAGGTTTGGCTTTTTTGTAAGATTTGTTGCGGGTCATTTTACTCTTTTCTTTTGCTGTACTTTTATCCATGGAAATTTGTAACACTGGTTATGCAGATCATTTATCCTTACGAAAAACTGCTGTTTGTTAATCTTGATAGCATATACTTTTGTAATATTGCATTTTCAATTTTTCCAGGTTCTTGATTCTTTGGCAACCTACTTGGACTTAAAAGAAAGATTATTATATAACATATCTTCAGGATGTTGAGCAATTTTTGTGTGATGGATTCATTGCTTTTTAAAATGTATTTTAAAAGTTGTAAGGGTATAAATAATTCAAAACAAAGCAAATAAACTTTGTATTTCAACTTTTTCATACTTGGTATGTTAGTTGAAAGAGACAGAAAAACTCTTAGGATGTGTCAGAAATTATTTTGTCAGATTTATTCTTATAAATGCTAGTCAAACTAGATATTTTGTAACACTGTATTGTTAAAGAAATTTAAAGTGAGTTATTTCTTACAATGAAAATAATTAAATTGAGGTTGCTATGACAGAAGGTTTTTTTACAAGAGTCTTTCTGGTATTGGATTTGTCGATCTAAATACTTCACGCTTAGTCTCAGTATTGGCATAGGAACCACTTTCATCTTGCCAGGTGTTCAGGCCAAATCGTCTGTAATCTGCAGTGTCTGTGAATTGCGAGTGGCATTTTTTGTAGGCAGTGCTATTATCTTTTTCCCCAAGTTCTTCTTCCTAAAAGAAATATATAACAAAGGCTCAATTGAAAAATAGCTACTTCATGCTAGTGACAACTCTAGATAAATAAGGCATCGTAATTAGAAATGGGCATTTCTTCTGTTGAAATAGAAGCATGGTATCATCCATGTACTGAAATACTAACCGGAAATGTGGAAAGGTCATTTGGGTTATTCATAAAAAATGACTTAAGTTTCTACAAAATTAAAAATTTTGTGGAAAAACATTTTCCGCAGCCTCTGGAATATTTCAAGATCGATTATTGGTTTGCTATTGATGCATTCATTTCATTACCAAGAGGTATTACCATAACTGGTATTTGCTGCAAGAAAATAGATTTCAAGCATTCAAGTATATACCTTTTCTTGTGACACAGATGGATAAGGTTCTTTGTAGTCGGTCCCATAAGTGGTGTCAAGATACCTGGAATAGAGTGGATCATTGAAAATAAATTGAAAATATAATGAGAGAAAACATTTTCACACCTATTACAAGTCTGTAAGCCTGATTCTTTTTGTTTGAAATAACTTAAAAACAGAAATGGCATTTTGAAAGGCTGTGGAAGCAACATTGCTGCGTAATCTGCAGAAACTATAGACGAGATAATAACAAATCACAGAGCTCTGAAAACAATGATAAAATAATCATTGGGCATCAATTTTTTTCTTTGATCTTATTTTTGTCAAAGTTGAATGAAGACTTTGGAATGTTAAGTTTGATTCTTGTCACTTTTGTCTAAACATTTCAAGAATAATTTGTTTTTTTGTGTTTTATGAATTGAGCTTCTATGTGCTACAGAACTGAGGTACCTTTTTCCATGGTCAGGATGATGTCTTGGCAAAATATTTTGTGTCTGTGACTTTGATGTTGAATCTTTTGTGTTTCTGCAGGAATAATAAAGAAATTTTGTACCCATGTACCCAAATCTCATTTCACAGTTACATGGTCAACAAATTTTCTAAATAATATTACAATCTTTAATATTGTTTTTTTACTTATCAATTAAACAGCTAATTTTTGGCCAAAGGTTAAAGGACCAGGATAAATGTACTCCTAAATGGTGTGTCATGCATTGAGTTGACTGTTTGAATGAAATTAGAAAATGAAATTGGAAACATTAACAGTGAAAGACTTCTGAAAACAAGTTATTTGAAATTTGCAGTGTCCAAACAGCTGACCTGCTGCAGATAAACTAGCTTGAATATTTGATATAGTCTTCATATACTCTGATAGAATTGCTTTTTTGGCGTTAAGCACTGCATGAAATGGCTATTAGGCCCTGTGAAGAATTTCATGTGAATTTAGAGGTTGTTAATTCAATGAGTTTCTATCTGGCTGATATTCCTAGTTCAGATAAGGAAACTTCTGGAGGATTTTCTACCAAGCAAAGGGTAAAACAATTTCAAAATGGCACATTACCACAGAAACATGGAACTGAATTTTACAAATCATTGCAAAAAGCTAAACAGATACTTATATCCTTCTGTGAATTAGAAGTTATATAAGAGTAATTTTTTGATTGAATGATTATTTTGACCAATTCGTAGCTAGACCTTCACAAAATTGAAAAGTCAAGAGTGAAACAAAATGAACTGAGTTCTAGAGTTTTTCAAAAAACTGAATTTCATTATTTGCATAAATGCTTGAAATGAAAGAAATTGTTAGGTTGTTATTGAATTCAGTGAAACAAGTAGCAGAGGTATCACAAACCTTTCTAGATTAATTTTGCTGAATGTAGATAAATTGACCATTGGATGTCTTCTTGTCTGCTCTTGGAAGTCAGCTTTGAGTTTAATTTGCTCCATGTGAGCATGTGAAGTTGAGCTTGGCAGTTCCTGAGAAGTTACAATCCATTAATGACTGTCTTAATTTCCATTGCCAGAGCTACATGCAGTTCTATAGCTTTTATTCTTGAGCAATGAAGAAAAGCCAGTCGATGAAGAAAATAGTAGCTTATAAATTTTCCAGCCTTGTAGCATTCTTCATATCATATTGAATCAGTCAGGGTAGATACAGAGGAAGAATTCTTATTTTTATTTATTACAAAGTTAAGCAAACTCACCCCTGAAGTAACATTTCCAATGCGATGATATGTCGAACAGTGAAGATTTCGCCTTTCGGGAGCGTCTCGATGTATATCATAATCTTTTGGTTGAGCTTCTTGGACTTGATGCCTACATTTCAGAAAGGTCAGAAAGGGTAATATCTGGGACCAAGCAACTGTTACTTCTTACTGAATAGTCTGTTGTAAACAAGAAAGGAAATCGATCAGGATATTAACTGGATTTGCAACTATGTAGCCCCCATTTATAACAACCCAGGCTTATGAAATTTTAGCATTTCGATTCATTTTTCAAGGGGTGGCACTAGCATCACTTTGCCGTTGCACCACTGGCACTTTGGTGGTGCACAGGACAGCACCAACATTATGGACATTTAGATAAATCTGCATATTGACAATGAAACAAAAACTAATCCTTCATTGGTTATTGTTATTCACAAATTTCAAGAGCAAAAACTCAGATGAGATCAAATGCACCGTTTTGGCAAGTTAGCTTTTCAAATTTCCCACACTCCAAAAGGGAAGCCGGGGGGAATTGACTAAGATAAAATGCTTACGCAAGCGATCGTAGTTAGAGCAAAACTTACCAGTTTGAAACCAGGGTACCTTTTCCATAGTCCATATGGTTTGACCGAAGAAACAAAGAGCCTTTCTTCTCCATGTTGGCTGTAGGTGTTTTTTTACGACGATGCTTGAACTCTGTCAAAATATTAGGCCAGTTTATGTGTTGATAGTTGCCATGGCATAAAAGCAATTGTGAAAACCAAAGTGAGGCTGAAGGTCTGGCTTGCTCTTTTGTCTTGATTAGTGTAGTGGAATTAGATATAAAAACGGTCTAACATTGACAAAAATAATATAAAGCTGGAATTTGGCACAGATGTTCTATACTAAGTTGAAAATGACCAGAAAAAAGCCCCATCAATCGGACATTTGGAATTCCTTATTTGGGCAAATACCATAATGGCGCACTGATCGGTAGTGGTTCAAAATTTTAATGTTGCTAAAACAACATAGTATGTACATCTTTTGAAAGATAATTTCATGCTGAATAACTTTTATTTAACATACGTAAGGAATTCTAGAAACTCATGATTCCGACAGTGTATTCATAGGATGATTTGGCGAGAAGAGCTCAGAGAGAGCTTTATCATCCCCACATTGTTATTATTCGATCATCTCCCAGACAGCTAGCCTCATCAAAGCAATCATTAGAATGCCTTACTTAAATCAGAAAGCAGTGCATGCCACGTATAGTACAAAACTCTTCAATTTCCCACCCCTGAGAAAAAATCCTAGCAACCCTGCTTTAAGTTCAATAAACATTTCTGGCTAAGAAAGGCTCAGCTTCCAATGATAGCTTAAGGCTGTCAGCTTGAATAATTCCGTTGATCCTGATTTCCAAAAAGTAATTTTGAATTTATGACATTTTCTACTCAGTCCATATCACCACTGCTCCATGCTTGATGCTTTAAAATATTCGCTATTCGTCCAAATAGGACAATTTCGAAAAAAGCTTATGGTCTGGGTGACCTCAGATTTGCATTGCCCTTGCATGCATAATTATGAGCATATTATTCATGTTATGCAGAAGTATATTGATAAGATTTCGCATAACAACCATCTCCTCCTCTTGACGCAAATATTTCAGCAGTACAACATGTACACATCAATTGAATGCTTGTTCTCGTACCTTTGAAATACTTTATTTTTTCAGTTGGTTGTTTTTTCTTCTTTTATTCCCGATTTAGTCTTTCCGTCTTAGTTTTTAGAAACGTAATCCCAAAATCCTATTCGTGTCTTTTGATTTCCAAATGAATTGCTTCTTAGATTGACACTGCCTCGCAATGAAGTCTATCTAAGTCTTTGGAATGGAATAATCACACGATTATACAGCTAATCTCCAGCTCGATGTCAAAACATGTTTTGTACTTGTTGGCCTAAGCCTCTTCCCGCTGGTCTTTTCTATTGATATCCATTCAGCTTCATTATGGGTATATTGTTATTTCCAAAACGTGGATAGATCATGTTAAACATAATCTCGTCGGAATTCATCCACGTAATGCCTGAAAACCCGATTTCCACTGACTTGGTTACAATTGTTACATCTACATAGAGCTTGCTTCGTCTTCTTTAAATACTTATCTAAACATGATCTTGAAAAAAACATTTGGCTCCAGTTTCAGCCCGGCGTTGCTAATTTTTCCGTATAATAACTACAGCCGAGGGAGTTTCTTATCTCGTTTCTTATTTTCAACAAACTACCTTAAGAAAAGCTCGAAGAACTTAAAGTTACCTTCAAAGATGGGAGTGTAGATTACATAAATAACTAATGATATTTATGATGGAAGTGATATTTGTGGTATTAAACTGATTCTATTAAGATAAGTTTGTTTTATCGTAGTTTCAAAGAAATATTGCTATCGTGTTCTGTTTTTCTGTTGTGATTTTTTTCAAACTTTGGTGTTTCTTATAAAGGGCTGTTATTATAGAAAACATGTATGCTAAAATGCCTGCTAAACTTCACGATACACTAAGCTAAGTAGAGTGTATTTAATGTTAAGTACATGCATGTGTAGTTAAGACTGTTTCCCGCAAGATTCGTTAAAGTTTAGTTTTGCGCGTATTTCTTGCGTAATTCGTTCTTGGCTGTCCAATTCCTATTCCCCTGTGTAGATGGATTGTCTTTCAATTGATACTAGGTTCAGCTATAACATTTGATAGCAAAGTCGTTTTCCTCTCCTTTTGATTCATTACCTGGTCTTTCCTTTATTGGTTTCAAGCCAGAGGCCATGAGAAACTTTCTAGAGGGAGGGGGCTAAAGCCGCAAACTGTATTATGGTATATGACCCAACAAGAGTATTTTTCTCAGGCTCGGGGATGGGCTTAGCCCCCAGCCCCCTTCTGGCCTCAGGCCGATTGGTTTTAACATCAAAGGCGTCGATGAGTTGCAAGGAAAGGAGTGCTGCAAGAGCTTAACCAATTAACCTTAAGCTTGTGAATAAAACTCAACAGCGATTGCATTGTCAACACACAGTTCCACCAAAGCTTCTTGGAACACCTCCTCACTATCTCCCCTCAAAAGAGATAGTCAGGTAAATATCTGTCCAATGAAAATATGTTTGGTACGTTTACGTCATGTTTTAATTTACTTTACTAAATTACGCTTTGATTTACTAAATTTATGGAAAATTGGATTAGTTAGTATGACCCACAGTTAATGTTTTGCGCTTATTGCAGGCTTTCTTGAAAGGTTTTTCAATTTCCCACACTTCTTCATGGCTAGCTCTATCTGTTACAAAAATGAAATTAGAACGATTCAGGGACTCAGTGATTATACAGTTGCTATGTGAGCAAGAATTTTGCACTTTAATTTCAAATTCAACGTGATGTTGTCCTTCATGATTACAACCTAATTTCAAAAGCAGTTGCTTTGTAATTGAATTAAGCTTGAAGCTCGGTGTTGCAGTATGGGACAGTTCTGTCATATAGTCATCTCCTAATCAAGAAATGAGCTTGAAATTGGATCAATCAGATTGCTGACTTTATGTCCTAGCCTACTTGAGATTGTTGATTACCGTTCGCGTTCTACACCCACTTTAGTAATCATATTTATATTTATACCGTCCACCAAAGGATTGACCTAGTTGTGTTTCAACCATGCTTCTACTAATATAATATATTCTTAATGTTCAATCATATTTCTAATTGTTGGGATAATTTATGCAAATAGGCCATTTTCCTTCTCCTAGCAGCGAGAAAGATTTTTGCATCAAAGCCTAAAACAAAATGTAGACAGAAAGTACTTCAATATGATATGGTTCCGCTTTTCCGTACTATTTTAAAATTTTGCTGTACCAATAGCTGCTTATAAAATGATCATAATAAAAGAATTTCTCTAAAACTCTTTGTGCTTGGCGAAGCTATCTTTGGCTGCTTTGCTGTGTTAGTCATTTTCTCCTTTGAGATCTTATTCTTTTCGAGTACATATTGAAACCAAGATTATCTTGCTTGTGAACCTTGAGCTTTCAAATGTTGTCCTAAAATATATTTTCTGCGTATGTGTCAACTGGACAGTATTCCTTTAGCTTTTAGCATCGTTAACGGTTAAACTTTCTTCATGTTTATTTTTGTGGCGTCAGAAGTGAAAAACGTAAACTTGATTGCTAATATATGTCCTTGTTATCATAAACTGCAATGATTAAAAACATCATTTCCGTGTAACAAGATTTTCTTTTGCTTATCCTTTCCAGTTTTAAAACCTTTAAGTCTTTATAATATCCGAACATCAAGTCCTGAAACCGCGTGTCTGTGTCACCTTTCAAATCTAGCCGATTCTTAGAAAAACATTTAACAGTAATATTCGAAATCTTCTTAGCAATTTTCCAGTGGTAAGTGCATAATCCCACGCTAAACTCATTTAAGTATTAAAACGTGAAACAGAACACACAGAAACTAACATTGAACGGCAAATCGCTCTAATAGGCTTTAAACCTGTCTGATCTTCGGCCGATCTTAGAGCGAAAATCCGCTTAAAATTTCATCAAAATCACATAACATCACGTTTCTTTTCGTGTTATCGTGTATTTGAGTAGAAAATTGTCTTGTGAAGGAGGGTACACGCTCGTCTGCCGATCAATTTTCTTAAATTAACTAATTACGTCTTCAATATTCAGGATCCCTATCTCATAATCAGCCTCTCAGCTATAGGTTGCTTTGGATCCGCTATATAGCACATTTTAAGGAATATTAACATAATAATAATAATAACATAATAATAACAAATCAAATTTCTTTGCAGGATAATCTATCAGTGCAAAATTGCACTGTTATCATTATACTTACAATGCTTTGTCATGATAAAACTTTTGTAGAATATATGATGGCTTTTTCTCATTCCAAACACTTTTCAATAATTATTTTCTAAAGCCACACTTTTCTCAGATGGGTTAATGGCAAGTACAATACCTGACTAACTGAAATGGCCTGCCTGATGGAGCTAATGGATTAAACTGCTGAATGAAATTGTGTGAAAGGACATAGACAACGGAGATATTTTACTGTTCGCAAGCTTTCTAGGTGTACTAGGGCAAAATTAACTCTGTGCTAGACCATTCAGGCATGCGCTCGCCCCCTCGCAACCCGTTATTCTCTATATGTCTCTCTACAATATCTATAAACTGGTACAACCTGCTTGTTTATCAATTTTGTCTCCGATAACTCAAACTACACTTCATTTTTTATCTATGCTGTAGTCAGTAGACATTCCTGCCCATTCGGAGATCAATGAAATTCGTAAAATTTCATTAATAATTCAAATCTCAATTGACGATAAACTAATAACACAGGTCGGGTCTATTTTAACTACCACTTTGGGTAGGTCTTACATAACTATGCTGTTTGACGATGAGACCGACATTGATATTCGTCACTATTCTCTAAGCACAGCATGCAAACCTCCTTTTGATAAAATCGACTACCAGAATTTACTAGGTTCTAGAGGGCTTTAGATGGAAGAAAGCGCCAACGTACCGCATGCATAAAAGTTCTTTTTGAAAAACCCTTAGTTTCTCTTGGTTTGATTTCCATCGAACACATAGAGGTACCTTCAAAACCCTGAAATTTGTCTATTGTAGTTCTGTTCATTGATAAGTTGAATAATGCTTTTCATATAAACCAGCTACAAAGACTCAGAGATCGATCCACAAATAAGCATCACGATAGCTGCAAGGCAATTTTAAAGTGTTCTAAGAGTCTAGAGTAAGTTACATAAGAGCATGACTTATTACTTCTATTGCCTGCAAGATTGAAGAAAGTTATTGCCTTAGATTGAAGACAAATGTAAGCCAATATGAGGACGGGTAAGGCAAGAAGAATTGATAATAAATGGTATGGCATGCGTGTAAACATTCTCCATATAACTTGCATCGCCATGAATTACAAGGAGCATTATAAACAGGGAATGATGATAGAAAATGTCCGAATTTGCACCAAATTAAGAAATCTCGAGAGAAATTTTAAAAAAGCTGAAAAATTCAAAAAATACAATCTTTGATATTTTGGTCTTTGTAGAATGGTATTACAGCCCTGTGTGCGCTTGAATTAAGCTTAGTTATAAACTCTTTAATAATGGAAGCGCTCCTTATCAATTGATATATTTGTATCTGAGTTCTCAACATCTTAATTTTAGTAGATGCGTCCGATTAGTGTCTCTAGATATTATGAGGGATATTATGTGACATGTCTCACCTATCTATCGACCTACCCCAAATGTAGTTTTCCTATCACGTACGGAGCACTGGGCACTAGTAGCTGACGTCATTCGCTCTTCACAGCCAAGAGAATCGGAGCTCGATATTTCACAATTAACAGCCTTTGTAGCCTGCTAATAGTTCTTGCACTACCAAGCATTTCACTCTGGACAACAAGGAGATGAAGGCCAACATTCATTGCTTTTTTCTAATGCGAAGCGGTTTATAAATGTCTTCTAAGGTCATAAACTTTACTTAATGTTCTAGCAAGAGGTCAAATTTTTAACGTAATGCAGAGTTAAGGTAAATAGCATCCTTTCGGCTGTGAACAGCATGCGACAAAATGAGAGGAGCTGACTAATTACCTAGCCTTATTTACCATGTTGGCGGAATGAATTGACCAAGCGCAGAGTCCGGATGAAACATTGAATACCACGACGTTGGCTGTAGTGCGTACATTTCATTCATCCACCTAAACGACCAACCTCGCAAAAGCCACAGGATGGCAAAAGGATTTTTGCTAAGACAAAAGTCAAAGGCTCTTGCTTTCAAGCGGAAACGGGTGACCCCCGTGATTTAGGAACGAAAATTCTTGTGTTAAGGCCTAACAATAACATACGGCAAGGGAATACAAAACCTTTTAAGCCAAATTTATTGATTGCCAAATGCGTTGCTTTTAAATGAACAATGGTTGCTGCATGATACTTGATCACGTCAAAAGGAAGCTATGTCTTCTCCGCACACGGATATACCTTGAAAAAGCCATTGAATCAGCTTTAAGGGTGTTCCAATCCCACAAAAAACAACACTAGACCTGGGTCAAGACAACATTAAAAAAACAATTTAATTACGCATAGAAGCCGGTCAATTCTTTTACACTTTAAGAAGGAAGTTAGCTTTAGGCGTCTCATTGGCCAGCATAGAAAGCATAGTGTACGCACGGATCTTCAATATTACTCATTCTGCTCCCGCAATACGCCGGCACGAGCTTGCTGTAAAGAAACAAGTATTTGAGATGAACATAGTCAAGGTAACGTGTTAGCAGCCGATTAGAGACTTAATTACTTAAATTAATACTCTTTCTACAATTTTTGTACAAAGTATCCTGCTTTGTAATGTCATCAATATATACAGCGTCCCATACGACTTTTTCACGAAATGTTGGCTTTTCTCACAATTAACAAGTCACTTTATGCATTTTCAAGTTTCAAGTATCGATCATACAATATCAGGTCATGCCTGACAAGTCTGTGTTGAGCAATAGTAGCTATTGGGAGGAAAGAAAATTGAATTCGCTTACAGTTAATATCACTTAATATCACTAATAGAACTGACAATTTTCATGTCATGTAATCCTTTGAAAGCCAATGCTACCTTTTATAGCTACGATTTAGCAAAGTATTGATAAATTAAAGGGCCTAGAAATGCCGCCATTCAGTATATGTTGTTAGAGTGAAATATAGCTGGTGACGTAATCGTATAAAGAATATCATGTTTGAACAGTAAAATCTAGTGTCAAAGCACTAGTATCAGCCTTCAAGGTAAATAAGTTGTTATTTCTCTCTTTTAAATGTTTAGTTATCAGATCTTTAAATGACAATAGAGGATCTCAGTTCGACTGTACATTAAACAATATCAACTTCGTCTAACCACGATCATCTCCCCTATCCGAACTTAACTTTTGATAATTGCCTTTGTATTTAGATTCTATCTACTAGATTATAAGCTAATTTACAAAATCCTCTCAATCATCAACTGGTGGATTGGATTTTAACGTAAATTCTATAAGAATAATCGTACAGGATTGCTGTTTCCGTTTCATGACCTCTAAAATCAAGCTTAGAATCGAATGCTCTCCTAGTTTGAATTATTTCATTCTATATATTTCATTGTTAAATCCTTTAAAGGTATTCATTTTCAAAAATTGGGCTCTTATGATGGATCTCTATCATATTCAAACCACAGGCAATCCTTTTCAACAGATCATAGGATATAAGGCATAGCATAGTGTGTTGAGAAAAACAACTGGACATCAGTTGCTCTAATTAGGCAAATACCCAGAAAAAATGCAGGAATCGTTTTCTAATCTTTTCATGATCGTCAGCTATGTAATTAGCTGACTCAATCTATAGATCGATTTTCTTTATCTTGAAGATATATGTAAAAGTAACACGCTTAGTCAATACGTCATATTTTCGCAGTGACTTCTGATTACGTTTTGTGACATCTCTGTATACTCTGGAAAAATCTAATGATATATAGATGCAAGTCATACACTGGTTCCTTGTATGGAAAGGGTTGGATCTGAATCAATGCTGTGATTGCCTGCCTGACTCGCCCTAAACTAAGTCCTTGGCTCTCATGTGTCTTCGAAAAATGACCCGTACAAATTTTGTTCATCAAATGACAACTCCTATCTGACTCCATTTCAGTTGATGTTTTTGTAATAATATTTTAAAGCTTATTCCCTGTGGTTAAATGTTTTTGTTGAAGTGAATTTTACCCAAAAAATAAACCTGATATACATTTGCTAGCTATTTCAAAAATCTCGCTTTCAAACTTTTTGTATATGATCTATATGCTTTTTAGTTGAAAATTCATCTTTGTAGATAAAAAATGAGCATTTCTATTTATCTTATCAATTAAAAAAGCAAAGGAGGATCTTAAAGCTACGCTCGAACTTTAAAAATCATTATTGTCGAGGAAATATCCTTCTTATCAGTATTAGATTGGTTTGCTTAACATCATGTTTGAAGACTTTATTCAAACTGTTCATGTTTGATAGTTTGCTTCCGTGAATTCTTTGCACCTCAATGGGGACTCCTACAAAGAATTCCTTTCAATAAATATTTGTGATTGTTGTGGATATTTTCAATATTTTGCCTAAGCTACATAAATTTGTTTATTTCATTATCCACACGATGTGTTACTGGCTAGATCGTCTGAAAGTTAAAGCTTCGAAATTTATACTTCTTGCTCCTTAAGTAATTGAGATATTTTAGGCATTGCCACATACATAGTGTGGCTGTTAATCGATTGAGTAATAGGCCTCTACTGATGACCGATATCCTTTTAGACATACACATTCTAGCGTTTAGAAATCTAGAAATAAAGTTCAGGACCGTACAAACCAACCTCTTTTTCCTAGACGAATTGAAAAAATTTCGTTACGTAACTGCATGAAAGTGACCTCGATCTATGGACTTTTCTTTCTAAATTAGAGTGTGGCTGCGCAGTTGTAGCGCAATTCAAACTGTTTTGTATATATTTAATAGCTGGCAAAAAAGTATTGAACCAATTTTGATGAAGTATCTTGTTAGAAAGCTTGTTCATTAGAAGAAACATATGATGTTTAGATTTTGCTACCATACGGCAGCAATATTAGAGAGGAAGCAGCTACATTAGAGAGAAAACTACAGGCCAAGGTACCAAGACTAAGAAAATTATGCCATTTACATAAAAATAATCGATACTTAAGCAGTATCTATGGGATCTTGCCTCAGTATTAACATTTGCTTCATTTCATATTGGCTGTCCCGTTGATTAATATGTTTCGGTCTGACGATTTTTGGTACACCAGTTCTATGAACGGTCCTCTCCTCAAATTTGTTTAAATGCTTTGTGTAGACATGGCACTGCTCTTGACATGAAATTTATTCTGCGATTGATCTGAAAGTTGAACGTTAATAGTTGCTGCCCATGAAAAGTTTCAAGCAAAAAGATTTTCGTTCAAGTTACTTACCAGCCTTGAACCTTGCAAAAATATGCAAGCAAAGGTTTTTTCAAAACAACGCTTTAAGCAACCGTGCGTCACATGACTTTAAGCATGGATTGTACCTCTAAGCTCAAAGAGATACGAAATCGCTATGCTCAATATAGCAACACAAATCGCACATCTGCAAATTGCCAATTTGGCTATTTCTAGTTATCACATGCTACTGACTGCAAGATTTCCCACCCTCTACTTGCAGTCGATGCTCTTAAGAGCTTGCTATCAAATCGTGCAGAAAGAGCGGTGCTCTTTGATCATAAAAATAAAGATAAAAAGTGCATTGGTGTGCAGAACAGGATTGTTCCAAGCTGCCGCTCTGAGTTCGATTTGTTGCCTTCAAGAATGGGTGCTTGGTGATTTTGTTTAGGCCGTTAAGGGTGAAACTTGGGGCTCCAACTGAGAACCGCCCTTTCTATATATCAAAGAGCATACAGCTCTGTCTAAGGCAAAATCTAGCACTAAGAAACAGAACGGTAAACATATAAAAAAAATGAATTCAATCACTGCCAGAAGCCTTAAAAAACGACTTAATTTTCAATTGTTCTCGTTAGAATGACGAAATAAAATGAATATTTGAGTGATTTGCCTGGGAAATTTATGTTTAATCTTAAAAGGTTGTTTACAGTAGCTCACATTTTTATTCATTACTCATACCCTTTAACAGTTGCCCGATGGTCGCATTAAACGTCAAACGCGGAGTAGCAACTTAGAACCTTCCTGTTCTTTACACCAAGCGTGGGAGAGGGGGCTGGCTCAAAAAATTAATGACAATTCCTAATGGAGGGTGGCTGATGTATTTTTGTCCATAGCTATTATCACGTCAGCAAAGATGCCACGTTGCTTTCCTCTGATGCTTCCAGGCTCTCTGAAGGATTGGCCTCGAGTTGGATCTGACCTTATGTTCACAATAATTTCATACTTTATTTTGCTGTAAACGCAATTATCTAATGCAACAAATCTTATGCGTGAAACCAATAATATAACAAACTAATCTAAAAATTGGTAAAGCACTTCCTTATTTTTCGGTTTTCGTCAGGAGGGGCTGAAGTCCCAGAGCTACCCCTGAGTTTACGCCTATGGTGTACAGCTCTGTTTGTACGGAATAAAGCTCTTTATGACAGACCGGTAAACAGTAATTTTCATAACGTTTACCCTTGTGTCGTAAAAGGATGCCGTCAATAGCCAAAATTCAATCCCTTTTCTCAGTTAAATTCAATTTTAAAATCTGCACTACGTCAAGTGCTTCTGAAAATTAACATATCGAATAAAGAAGCAGGAAATTTTTTCTGTTTGAGATAACAGTGAATATCCTTGCATGTTTAGAGTAGAATGATCAAACACAATCTTTTGATTTGGCGTTTTTTGATTTCGTATGGTATAGCAATCCTATTTCTATCTTATAGTTTAGTCAAGCAACAATTTTTTATGAGAACAATTTTACAAAAATTTAGCCTCAAAATTGGTCAAAAGTTAAGAACAAATTAAGAAGAAGCCGTGGCTGAGCTACTGTAAATGTAATTTTGAACAATGTTTGACCTCGAAACCGAGGATTTCTTTTACCGTCTATGGGTGTTTTGTGATCAATTTTCAAAACCGTCGGCAAATAAAAGATGTCTCACTCACTCTGTTCGCAAACGAGGCCTGAACACCTCCCTAGAGCGTAATAGCTAGCAATTGAACTGGATACACCAAAATAATCTAAATCCAAATGTAGGGTGAAATGTTCGGTGAAATGTTGGATCGTTTGACCAGGGTTTTAAGTGTCATCAGAGCCCCAGCTCGTCATATCGGACCTTCATTATTGGAAATTAATCACCGTATCTTTCTTATTCGTTTAGATATACCAGTTATTTTGCTGCATGGCATGTTGTCATCTTCTATGCATTGGAGTCCCAAACACCTTTGCGAAGAAAAGGCGAGGCAAGGCATATAAAAAATATTTGGCAACGATAAAAAAGGCAAACGATTTGCTGCTGAAGCACGACATTCACTTCAGCAAGTTAAAGGCGATGTTTTTACGCTTCAACACACGTGGTCCCAGGGTTCGACACAGGCGCAAGCGAAATGTCCATGTCAACTTTGCACAGCACGTGATCATGGCTTTACCAACTAACGTCATGCGATGTCGGATATTTTGTAGATCAGGTCTTTACCTCCAGTTATTGCCGAATGGGTTAGTGAAAGGTACAAGGAATCAATACGACCCTCACAGTGAGTCACAAATCTATTGCTTATAGTTTACATTCATAGCGATTTTTTACTGAAATTTTCAATATTTTGTCATACCCCGTCTCATATGTACCGTCTGTCCTCGAGTAAACTCCCGAGGGCCGTTTCACAAAAAAATTGGGGTAGGGGCTTATTCGAGGGGAGGCTTATTCTAAGGTGGGGGCTTATTCGAAAGTGGGGGCTTGTTTAGCAGCAGCTAAAATTTTTCCAGGGTAAATAATCTTGTTTTATTTTTAAAGCTGGTCAGTGTGCTTAAAAATACAGATAAACCCATTGCTGTCGAGGCAATACCTCAATCCATAGGACATTATCGAAGGGGGGGGGATATTTCACAAAGATTTCTTTAGGATGGCTGGCTGCTTTTTCGAGAAACGGGGGTTTATTTGAGGTGAGGGCTTATTCGAGGACTTGCGGTAGAAATTTTTGTTAACATGTATGGTAATTGTATAGAATTGTGTTTAAGATTGAGATATTGAACACTGATGTTTGATATTGTAAGAATACTCAGATCTCAGAGTTTGTTGGTAAACTACTAAATCAACTTGAACAAGACATCTTTAAAGAGGACACACCCTTTAGAACGTTGAAAAATGCTCGTTTTAGAAAATACCTGTTTATTTCTACTCAACTTTTATAAACAGTCTGGTTCAGATAAAAATCAATATTCCTTATTCACACAAAATTTCAATAGCTATAAAAATATATAAAATTAGCTTGAGAGTAACAAAATACCAAGCTAACCAAGTTAAAAAATACTTCATATCGTTAAACAAGATAAAACACCTAGAAAATGAGCAAAAAAGGTTTCCAGTCAAGAAGAGCTGCTACTGCATAGGAGTTAATTATCTAAAGTTGCGTTTGAGTAAACCTTCCAAAAAATATTCTTGCCTATTATTGCAAATAGGTGGGTGGGCTATAGCCCCTGCCAGCCCAATGGCTGTGAGGTGCCTGTTGTGTTTATATCCTTCAAGTTTTGTGTTTATTTGCAAGAAGTGCATAATATAATCTGGATTCAAATAATTATAATGTACGAAACGATTCAATCAAGAGATTACTCTATTGCTCTATATACCTATGTAGATCGAGCACTGTTATTTGAGAATAGACAATGCATAGTTAGACAAGACGCACTATCAAATAGCCTGTAAATGATCTACAACTCATTGCCTTGTAAGTGTCATTTAGATAACTTTTTTCTGCCTGTGCTTTTCTTTATATCAAAACTTATGAATGTGTGTTTCACCTACAGTCTTGCTCGAGCTTCAATCATTTGGACCAAGCCTAGTAAGAATTAAGAGTGTGTACTCAAGCAGATATCTCACAATTGATGCTGCTGGCAAGTTGAAAACACAGGTACGTAGTAGCCATAACTAGTAAGGATAAATTTTATTTATACAAAAAGGCTATTAAGCTGCATGTCATCTGTTTTAAATAGGGTTGCTTATGACATGGGCTTATTGTAGCAGAATACAGCAGAAGCACTACTGTCGGCCTTTACTAATAAATGACACCCTGGAACAACTGACAAATACTGTTGTCCTAAAATTTCTTATAATCAAACCCTGATGTGAGCAGTTCCAAGCACACCTTTCAACAACGGACACCATCTCTAGTACCATTGGTATTCCGTCCTATAATGTACAGTGACACTGGTCCCATTGGTCTTACATAATGGTTGGTTCCTAATTAGTGAGAAAATGTTCAAGGTGGGGTATTATTTTGGCAAAGCATTCTTCGTAATGTGGTTCTATAATGCCTTCCCGACATAGCCAAAAGATAGTCACGGGAGTTCCCTGTTGGTAAAGGGCGATTTCTTACTGTAAAAAGGGCATTCTCCCAAGCACTTCGGGGCTGGTGCAGCCAGTGTGACCATTTAGTATCATTCATCTGCTACTACTACCACCATCAGTATATACTGAAGATTTTTACCCAAAAGTTAAGCAGAATAAACAATGAATATAGAGCTTATTCGCTTGGATAGAAAGACTCTAGTTAACTAATGGGGGAGTATTTTCGTTTCTAGGGCACACTAAAAGGCTTTGGGGTAGTGCGGTAGCGTGTTTGGCAAGGGTGCACACGTTTATTGACTTTATTTATCTCACTATTCATAACTGAATTAAGGGCAAGATGACTATCAACTAAGCCCCTGCAAAATCCGCTTGCAATTCTCTTACGTGAAAAAGAACTCTAAGAAGAGCAGCGTCTCTGTTTGTAGTAGAATCATGTTCAATAGAAAATAGTACGAAATGTTTAGCTTATTTGATGTCTTCGGGCTTTTACAAAATTCATCTCAATTCCCCTACGAGAATTGTAGAAGAACTCTGTATCCAATCAAAATCAGTTTGAGCAAATAGACTGGACGTTTTCAGTCTATGCTTGTAATGATCACTGAGTTCACTCGCAAATTAGGCGACCAGAAAGAAGGGGACAACTTATCATGCTTTTTCTGCTCGACTCTCTGAATTGATTTTAATACCTAGCTGTCCATGTTACAAATTTTCTAACCAAATACGCTAAAGCTTTAGCTACTATCACCTTTTCTAATGGGCCTTTCTGCTCAAGGGTCAAGTCTTTGTTTGAATGAAAAGGGAACCATTCATATATAGTGGTTGATAAGGGAAAAAGAAACACGGATTAATTTTTGTTTTAAGACCATATTGTCATAACATTTTTACATAAAGGGGACAATATTGCCTTAGGAATGACACCGAGGCTGGAAGAGCAGCTCCTTAAAACCACACCAAAGAGCCACACCTTTTGTCACACTCAATATACTTACATGTGTGAAGATTCTCGGTTGTACATATGAAACCATCCAAACCATTCGCCGACCCCAACAGGCTGATAGAAATTGCTCATTCATGGAAATCAAGGGCTAGTTCACATGGCCCAGTAAGTAATTTGCCAAATCAGACAAAATGTCTTGTTAAGAATAGGCTGGACCTTCAGAATCTCTTTGAAATTGAAAAGGGGGCTGTGTCCCTCCGAACATCCTCCACGGCACCACTGTCGAGAGGGTTTTACCACCGTTTTTTGTTTGATTTCATAAGGGGATCAAATCGACAAATCAGTGAGGTTTCAATCACAGGATTAAGCTTAGTATTATGCTTTCAAACTGAAATGATGATGACATCGCGAATCCAAAGGCACAGGGATTGGTATAAACCATGTACAAACACGGACAAGAAGCTTTATTTAGAACTATAGATTATACACAAACCACGAAGCTGGATTTATTAGATCAAAATATCTTACTGTCACATTAAGATCTTCAATTTCACCAAGAACCATCTAATTCTTTTCAGTAGTATATAAGCCATTTTCTTGTAAGCCTGATAAGGGTTTTGGATTAATTCTAAATGATGTCTTTTCGAATTTCGTTCCTTAATTAAAAAAACCTGACACTTGACCACTCTTTTGTTACCATTTTAAGATCAAGGGATTATTCGTGCCTCCTCAATGAGCATTCTCAAATAACTTTGTATTGTATCCAACATGTATAAAGTACGAAGAGAAGCATAGACTTCTTAATATTTGAATCTTGAATATTGCTTTTGAACATTGCTTCTTGAATGTTTGATTTAGGTTATATTAGAATGTCACCAAATGGGGCAGTTCATTAACTATGCCAGCCTACATTTGTCAATTCCAGAACCTACTTGACAGGCTTTGCCACAAAATGGGCTTTTTTCCTTTCGTCGACACGTAAAAACTGTAAGTGAGAAAAGAAGAAAATTTTACAGCACCATTGAAATATTGTTTTTAATAATTTAACCATTTTGAACTTCATTTTTTAAACTACTGCAAAGGACCTTGGTCAAATGTCGAATTAACATTTGAACTCTCACATTCTGTCCACAGGCTTCTCATAAATCCTTAACTCAAGATTGGCCACCTTAAGCTTCTCCTTGCCTTATCTACCACTGTTCAAACTGCATGTCGATTTTTCTTTGCGAAAACAGTTTTTTAAATATCTCTCCGATCGTTGCAAAACATGATATCGTAGAAGTCACATTTGACGTGGCCGGACCTCTTCCAGGCGTGTGAAGTCATTTTTGAACGACCCTAAACGCTACAAGGTGACTGAAACAGTTTCCACTTGTCGTAAACGTTCCAAAAATTGTGCCTTTGGCTAATCACACTATGAACATCTCGGACACCTTTTGTGGAAATCCTACAGTTTAAGCTGAAAATCCCTGGAAATCCTTATGTTTTCGTGAAATCTCGTACGCTGTTTGCAAGGGTAAAATACCCCTCTGTAGTCAGCCTCAATTATGAAACTGTTCAAATGCAAAGACCCATGATGCAATGTTTTTATTGTAACGTCACAAAACGGTTTTTACGCGCTCGATTCATTCTTCCACCAATGTTTGGTGAACAGATTTAGTCAAGGATGTTATGAGTTGTTGTCTTTAACAAATGATTCTATTCTTATAATTCTGTCAAATTCTTTTTCTAATGCAGAAGTTGAATCTATATTTACAATGATTAGGCACGCTGGAGCGGGGGAGGGCCGGGCGCATCAAAGATGTTTAGATAGCAAGGTTGTGGCGTCAAAGGTAATGGTGGCAAACCACCATGATAGCTTACCGATTTGTGAAGAGCCCCCCCCCCCTCCAACTCCATAATTTTTTCCGCAGTCCCTGATCACTAAAATGCTTGAAATTTCTGTCTAGCCTTTCAACAAATTCTGAAAGGATTTGAATTACAGCGAAATGAAATTCCCATAGCCATAAACCTATTGAAGCGAATCTTCAATCTTGACTTACACTGTAGAAAAATGGCTGAGGCAGAAGCAGTACAACTACACTTAAAACAATAATTAAATAATGTCGTCATTTTCTTTAAATTGGATGTTATTGCATGCTCTTTGTTGGTGCTGTACGCAAATGAATACCCTTTGTCAGAATTCGTTTCTAGAAATCTATGTGAATTCCTTTCATTTTCTTCCCAGAAGCATCCTCAACTGCAAGACAGTTTGTTCAAAGAGGTTCAAGAAGAAAACTCTTATAATTCATATTCATCGTACAAATATTTCTACGACGAGCCTTATGACATTTTTGTTGGTTTGCGAAGTACAGGACAAATTAAAAAGACATGGAAAGCATATCCCGGACAAATAGCAACACAGTTTTTAGTTATCAAGGATGTAAATTTATTAAATCTGTAAGCATGATGACGTAGGTACTTTAATGTAGTGCCAAGGCCTATTTTTTCAAATGTGACGAAAGAATTAAGCTAAGAGTGAGCATAGTAGCTTATGAAGGCATATTGAACAGATCCCAAACCAAACCTTACACCTGTGCCAAACTTTAAACAAACTTTAAAAGGAGCAAGGTAATACTTAGCTATTCAGAACTCTCTGCTAGCAGCTGCCATTCTAAGAAAGTCTGCACTCAAAAGAACACCAGTGATAATTTAAGAATAATTCAAAGGAGCTTTCACACCTAAAATCGTCTTCAATTAGCTACACCAACAAAACTCTTTGAAAATTTAGAAAAACTCTTTCCCGAACTGTTACTTTATATATAAGCCTTTGCATTCGAAAAATATTTTGATTTGAAATGCATTTGCTTTTTTAGCAAGAGAATATTACGTAAAAAATCCGTAAGGCATTCGTACTACTGCGAGGGCATGTCTAAACTGCGGAGAAGACGATTCTTCTCCGCAATTTATCAAGTTTTCTCCAGTTTAGTAAAGTTCGAGCATTTTTATAAGTTTAATCACAGTGAGATGGAGCTTTCCATACTTTGACCCTAAGTCTTTAAAGGGTACCATTTAGACACAGAGCTAGCAGAAGGTAGCATTGTGTTCAGCTCTACGCTAAACGTAGATATCTGTGCCTTTATACACTTGTAAATTCATATTAATTTAAACACATTAAATTAGCATATTAGATGGATCTATTTATTTAAACCATGTCATGTTATTATTCAATAGTACTATTTAATCATTACAACTCTATCATATTTAGAGTAAGCGACTAACTGAGGATGATGAAAGAGCAGCCAGCAGGATTTTTTAAGCATATTCCCTTTTATAAAGTTGACAACTTGAAAACAAGGTCGCAGTGGCTGGAAGATTGGGGGGGGGAGGAGGGGGGAGTTTTGGTACTTTTCTACTTCTTCAAAATTTGTAAAAAATTATGATGTCTGAGCCTTGGCATCGAGCTGTTTGATTGACATTTTTATCACATGTTGAAAATGATAGTGATATCAGTATGATTTGGCATTAGATAGAGTTTCATTACAATCTAGAACAGGCATTTTTGGATTCTCTACATTGCAGGACTCAGCCCCTCACTCAAGACACTATAAGAATATTTTCCTTATCCAAAAAAATAACTCCTACAGCTTCCCAAAAAATTTTGAACTTTTGAATATAAGGTAGGAATATAACAATATAACAGAAGTGATATTTGGCAGTTTGTTAACAAATTTCAATTTCCAATTCTCAAACGAGGCACAGTCTTTGCAGGTATCTGGCACCCTCCGAAGAGCCAATTTCATTAGTAGTGTAGTGGAATTAGATATAAAAACGGTCTAGCCCGGATAAAAATAATATAAAGCTGTAATTTGGCACAGATGTTCTATACTAAGTTGGAAATGACCAGAAAAAATGGGAGTTCCTTATTTGGGCAAATACCATAATGGCGCACTGATCAGTAGTGGTTCAAAATTTTAATGTTGCTAAAACAACATAGTATGTACATCTTTTGAAAGATAAGTTCATGCTGAATAACTTTTATTTAATATACGTACCCTTAGAATATACAAAATTAGTGGTGATTGGGCAGAAACAAAGTTGGATGAGTGAATATTTAAAAGCGCGCGGAAAAAATGGCTGATCCTCTTGCTAAATATTTTCATTTTATCTCGCAAAATCTATCGATGCAAAATCATTAAGTGTGTGAATAAGATAAATTATGATAATACCCACACAGCCCGGGCTGACTTAAACCGGGCCCACTCAGCCCGGGCTGACTTAAACCGGGTCCACTCAACCCGAGCTGATGCAACCCGGGCCCACTCAGCCCGGGCTGACTCAACCCAGGCCCACTCAGTTCGGGCTGACTTTAGTGAAATTTGTTCACTGCAGCAGCAAATTCCGGTCAAATCTAAAGAAATATCTAAATTCTCAAAACAACATGATTTTTTTCATTATAAACTAATTTAAAGATGAAGATTTCAATTTTGAAAGTTTTTCAACTTTTTCATTGACATCCTCCATCTTAGTAATTTTTGTTACTAAGACGTAAAAAACACTGCCATATTCAGCGCAAATTCGAAGTGGCTGCACAAAACTACAGCTTGATGCTGGGCCAGTAATATTCCCTTTATGCCCTTCTTTACCGGTAGAAGAGATAACTTCCAAATTACGTATAATCCCAAAAATTGCAAACTTTTCATTTGGGAAGTGCGCAGATGAGGGTGTTTTGAGAGTACCTAGGACCCAAAACCCGGAAAATAGTTATAAAAAATGGAAAACTCGGACTTGGAAATTGGAAAATCCTGAGACAAATATGTATACTTCAACGTGGTTCACCTTTTCCCGTGTTCTGCATTAAAAGACCTTCGTACCCGCAGTTATTACCAGCAAGAATATTTGTCTGCGAGGCACAGTGTAGATCCTTGCCTTTTTTCTCCAAATGAAGATATCATCAGTGTTGGCGGAAGAACAGAATTTTAGGGAAATTTGTCGTAGATTGCGGAAATCTGGTAATTTCTCAACGGAACGAGGGAATTCTACGCACTTGCCGGACGCAGATTTTCGCATAATAATACACGGATTGCAGAAATTTCAAAATGTTTAGCGGGATTCTTAAACTGCTCTTTGTTGGATAGGATTTCATCATCGCATGTTTTGATCTTATTAATATACAAGTTGTGCATAAATAAACTTATATACATTCAGAGGTGGCGCCAGAAATCTTTCGTGAGTGGTTTTTCTGTCAGCGTGAATCAGTTTGTTTCAATGCGAAGCTGTTTTGTTTGTATGCGAATCAGTTTAATTTAAGTGCGTGGCAGTTATAGGCCACCGTAGCTTCGAGCTTTTTTCTATCAGATTTTGCGCGCCTTTACGTTTCTCGCCCACCAGAAGAGAAAAACAAAACAATATGGAGCAATTTTTTTACAACTTTTTTGAATGGTTTATGGGAATAATTAATTCTTGACATAAATTGAGGCAGCGTCGCCTGTTGGAAACGCTTCACCCTCTTCCTCCTCATTTGGGAAGGCCGCTATAAAGTTTTTATAGTTGTCCTCAGACTTAGAACGAATAGTCTCCCAGTCCTGGCCATCGCCTAACGTCGAAGTTTTGTACTCCAGCGTGATCTTCAGGAGAAGGGCCGTTTATTTGTCGCTCCAAATAAACATTTTGTTACCACTTTTTGAATTTAGGTTTGGTTGCCATTTTGTTGTCAATCTTCCTAAAAATTTGGCGCTATCAACGCTATCTTCTTTGTGTTGCTAATGACATAAGCAATACGCATGTGCGTTCCTGATCGATCCCGTTTTTCCCGTGTAAACGGGGTCCTGATATTGACTGACAATCGTGCACGGCTATATCGAAATTTTTGTTTCTGCCATATTACTATGGTCTCGTCTCGTGGGAACAATTCAGAAGATTATCAAAACATTCATTTTACTTGCGGGAAATGTTTCCATGTCTGCTTTGTTGAAACCGCAATTATTGTGATTCTAACGGACTAAGTCCTTGAAGGTGATTAAATGATCTGTAGAGACAAATTAAAATCCGGTGCAACAACATTAGATATTCATCTAAGCTGATCATAAATACAGTTTCATCACCGCGGTATAAAATATTCATACACAGATTTCCTTGTCACGCACTGCAAAAATGGATCTATACCCTGGTTGTAACGCAGGTTGTACCAAGGTTACACGCGGGTTAGACCCACGACCTCTAACGCAGGTTTTCTTCCTGCGGATCTGGATCATTGAAGAATTGTCCGAGAAAATGACTGATAATTGGCCTACTCTGTTCTCTTTACAGAAGGACGATCAAGATACAATAACTGCCAAAAGTCTTGGAACACTATCGTCAGTTTTCAAAGGCGAATTCAGCCACCCCCTTCCCCTCTAGGAACAATGTTGATTCACTATCGAAACAAGAAAAGGGGTTATGGAGTACTTTCTTGTGGCTGTTATGATTTTTTTTAACTTTCAACATAGTTTGGGGGGGGGGAGGAGGACGTAAGTAGTAGTATTTGGGAAAACAAAGGAAAAACAGAAAAGCACATCGCATTATGTTTGGTGTTTCAAGTAATTTTAGCAGTGATTGTAAGTTCAAGTGTAACTAAATGAAAGTCTAGAGCATTACATTGTCATATTTATGACGCCATTTGTAATGTTATTTTTCCATTATAAGCATTAGACCTTTTATTTATAATCTGTATAGCTTTTCTAATCCACTCCACAAGCCTCTTCTGTCAGAGGAAAACACTGAATCCTTTTTCGGGGTGTCTGCTGGGCATGTTGTAACGACTCGCAAACAAAATGGACTGATTATTCAAATCATCTAAACAGACAAACACAACGAAAATATGCAAGGAATACCTCAAAGAATATACCAGAAAAAGTCAAATTAAAAAGAGCACAAGGTATTAAATACAAAACCGAAAAAGGATGGCTCTCACTGGTCCTCTCTGCAGTTTAAAGATGTAGAGAACAATGGACAGGGATGGAGGATTTTGCTGACAGCTGTCAGTTCCAGTTTCACAAATCACATCGTTACTCGTTGTTTCTACATACCCTGGGTACCCGAGCCATAACATTTCGAGCGCGTATATAGAAAATCAAGCGAAGAAGAGGAGGAGCTGTGGAACACAGGGTAGTCATTACCGTGCTGCGACTTTTTTCCGTCAACAGTCCTGACTCGTAAGCCCTATTACCCAATTTCCCCTATTCCTCTCTGTTGATTTATCTGTCAAGGAATGCTAAATGGAATGGATTTTTGTGTGTATAATGTGTGTATGGCTAGCAATAGAGTGCCAACATGTCATGTTTAGAATGCTTTTCTCCACAAATTAAAGCTACAGTTTTTGTCAAAAGTACTTGGAACACCCAGCAATTTGCGCTGTGTTTTTATACTTTTCAATTTTTTCCCGGATACTCCTATTTCCGCACCCATTCCCCCAAACAATGTTGATAATTTAGAAAAATAACATAGAAGTCGCAGAAAAAAGCTTATTTCCAAATCCCCTACATTGTTTTGTAGTAAACCAACATTGATCAAAGGGGAGAAGGGGAATGGCTTAATTTGCCCTTGGAAACTGTTGGGAACTTCATAACCCAACACTCCGCTGGTTACACTCTTAGGCAACGACAAAGAAGAAGTCAAATTTTATCTCAAACATTTTTTCTGGCAATCAATTTACACTCGTGTTAGTTCAACTCTCCTCGTAACTACTGACGCAAAAAACATAATACATGAAACGTAGTTAATTGTGTAATAACCCCTCTGTGAATAATATCAACTCTCCGTTATGGTAACATTAGTATAATTAGGTAGTAACATAACAAAACAAAATTTCTGCATTAACAATAATTGGTTGCTAGGCGCATGCAACCTCGCAGCTTTCCACAACATTCCCCCCTCCTTGATTCTAACTAGAATCAAGCATAAACTTGGTCTTGCAGCGTGCATCTAGTGCAGCAGCCCTAGGGGTGCGGTTCATTCCCCTCTCAGGTCCTTCCAAACTGGTTTTCTCTTCATTCACTTCGCTGTCACCACTAATTTTTCCAACATTCTCTTCACCTTCTAAGCCTTCCTCATTACTCTCTCTTTTATCATCGTCTCTATCAACTTTATTTGAAACTTCTAAGGGAAATAATTTTTGCAAAGGACGATTCAAAACTTCATGCTTACCTCCTCTGCCAATTTTGCGTACCGTTGCACCTCTTACTACACCATCACGACCAACGATTAAATCTTCCACTATTCCAGTCTTCCACAAATTACGCTTGGTGTTTTCTTCAAAAATTAAAACAATATCCCCTTTATTAACTTCATTGTGCAATTTTTTCTGTTGAGAGTGCGTCTCCCTCAGATCTTTGAGATACTCTCTTCTCCAACGATTCCAAAAATGTGTTAGTTTCCTGCTTAGATAAAGAAATCTTTTACAAATAGTATTAGTGTTACTTTCTTCAGAATCTTCGTTATCGACTAGTCCTTCTGATAACGAAAATAATCTGCTACCAAACAATAAATGAAAGGGAGTTAAAACCTCTTCTAACTCGTCATACAAATACGTCAACGGCCTTGAATTTAATGTGAACTCAATTTCTGTGAGGACTGTATTTATTTCATCAAAAGATAATCTAGCATTAGCAAGTACCTTTCTCAAACACCTTTTTACACTACCTACAAGTCTTTCATAAAATCCTGCCATCCATGGTGATCTTTCTAGAATAAATTTCCATGTTATTCTTCTCTCTGTCATGTAATGTTGAACGTTATCACTCTCACAAAGTTTCTTAAGTACCTTATCAGTTGCCTTGAATGTTTTAGCATTATCTGATATCAAGAGATTAGGTGTCCCTCTTCTAGAACAAAATCGACGTAAACAGTTGACAAAAGTTGAGGCTAAAAGATTCTCAACAAGTTCAATGTGCACAGCTCTTGTTACACAACAAGTAAAAAGTGCAATGTATGCCTTATTCATCTTACCATCTGAACCCTTAATGTAAAGTGGTCCAGCAAAGTCTACTCCTGTACTATAAAATGGTGGTGATTTAGTTACCCTAAAATCTGGTAATGGTGCAATCGGGGGTGTACCATACGATTTACCCTCCAATCGTTTACAAGTCACACAAGGTTTAATATTCTTCTTAACAAACTGTCTTCCTTGTGTGATCCAAAATCTAGATCTCAATTCTGCAAGTGTGCCTTTAACTCTAGAATGGTGAACTGTTTCATGACAATAAAGAACAATTAATTTGGCAAATCTGTGATCCTTTGGTAGAAAAATAGGATTTTTAGCTTCAATCTCTAAGTCTGAATTATCTAATCTACCAACACAAATATAAACTCCATCTTTCTTCACTATTCCTAACTGCTTTGACACCTTCTGAAACTTACTATCATTTTGCAATCCAGATTGACAATCTAAAATCCAAAGTCTCTCAGCTTCTTTCATCTCTACAGCCTTAACATTTCCAACACTAATCTCAGTACCCTCCTTCTTGTTTCTACAGTTTCTAATAAACCTCATCACAAGTGCTGTTACTCTTAGGAGTCTATGCAATGCACTAAAGCTGTCTATATCAATTATCTTAGATATTCCTTTCTGTTCTTCAACATGCACAGATAATGTTATTACCTTTTTTCTCTCTTCCTCAATTCCATCTGGGTTCTCAATTTGAAATCGTTTGGGCCATCCTTGTTCCCCTTGACTCAACCACTTAGGTGCTTGCCACCACAACTCACTCTCCTTCAAATATTTAGCTGTAACTCCTCTGGTTCCCAAGTCCGCAGGGTTTTCTACTCCTGGTACATGGCCCCACTCCTCTTTCTTACTTAAGCTTAGAATTTCATTAACCCGGTGCTGCACAAAGGTTTTCCATTCATTGTTATTCTGAATCCAGTACAAGGCGGTTTTACTGTCTAACCAATACCTCACTGTATCAATATTAATCTCTGACTGAATTGCTTGTCTGACTGCATCTACCAATGTAACTAAGATTCTAGCAGACATAAGCTCTAATCTTGGTATAGAAAGATTCTTCAATGGAGCTACTCTTGTTTTCGCACATAGAATTTTGCTATATACCCCCTTTGTGGTTTCAATAACAAGATAAACTACTGCACAATATGATTTTTGGCTCGCATCACCAAACCCATGCAAAGATGTTTTTAAGATTTCACCTTCAACTCCTACTAAAATATTTCTTGGCACTGAAATGTGACTAGCTTCTTGCAAATCTTGTAACCATGCTTTCCATCTTGAAAATTTTTCTACAGGGAGAGGATCATCCCAGCTATAGTTGTCTATGCACAACTCTTGAAAAAGGATTTTTGCTGTTACCACAACTGGACTTATTAACCCATGTGGGTCAAACAACGAAGCTAGTGCCTTTAAAATTCCCCTCTTTGTTGCAGCATGGTTTATCTTGTCCACCTTCCCAAAATCAATTTGAAGAGTGTCAGTTTTAGTATCCCAAGGAATACCCAATACTTTTGTCTTTCCTCCAATCTCCTGTGATAATCCAACATGTTCTTTAACACTGGTCTCATTGCCACTGCCCTTGTCTTTCTTTTCACACTCTCGTTCCTTTTCCTCAATCAGTTCAGCTAGCATTGTGTCATTCGTCTTGAATTTCCTAACTGTAAATCCTCCTTCTTTCATTCTCGATCTCACCCTCTCATATAAACTGTAAGCTTGCTCAACACTGCCAGCTCCGCTCACTAAATCATCTACAAAGAAGCTCTCAGTTACCTTCTTCACAAATTCTGGGTCTGTTTCGGAGTACATCTGGATATGGTGTCTAAGAACTGCATTTAAAAGGAAAGGTGAGCTGTTAACTCCAAAGACAACCCTTTTGAAGCGAAACACTAATATCTGGGGTTCTGGGGCATTAACATCATCCACCCACAAAAAGCGTAAACAATCTCTGTCATTGTCACAGACCTCAATGTTGAGAAATGCTTTCTCAATATCACCTACAAGTGCTACCTTGTTTGTCCTAAAGCGCAAAAGAATATCAAATAGCATGGGTGTTAAACTGGGTCCAACATGTAAACAGTCGTTTAACGACACTGCTGATTTTCTGCTTTTGCAAGAAGCATCATACACAACTCTAACTTTAGTTGTTTCTACACTATCTCTAACAACTGCATGATGTGGCAAATAGTGTATCTTAGATGAACCTGAAGGATTTTCTAACTCTGCTACCTGCTCTATGATACCTGACTGCAATTGTTCTTTGATCACTTGATCATAACTTTCTAAAATTGTAGGTGTCTGTCTTAGTTTCCTGAGTTGACTCTTCAATCTACTTAAACTTATATCATAGTTTGTTTGTAATGGACCATGACCGACCTTCCATGGTAAACCTACAGAATACCTTTCACCTGTGAACTCAATATTGTCAATTAAACCTTCGTGTACTTCATCTGTTGGCCTAATACCAATTGTTTCTAAATCCCAAAGCTTATCAATATTATCACTCAAGGAAACATTGACATGGTTAACATTAACATCAGATTGAAAATTTAATTTCTCACCCTTTAATGGTCCTGAAAGAGTCCATCCCAAGCTTGTCTTTACTGCTACTGGCTCATTTTGCCCCCCTCGTATGATTTCCCCTTCATGGAAATTCCACAAATAATCTGATCCAATTAGAATCTGTATGTCCAGTGTCTCATCAAACCTACTAACATCTGTAAAGAATATCTTGTGAAGATGAGGAAATTTATTCTTTACATTCTCAACATGTACATTAGCAATGGAAGAAATGTGATCAACAACAAAAGCTTCTATTAAAATCTCCTTGCCTTCCTTAGAAATAGGTGATAATGTAAACCTGCAAACATTTCGTTCTTTCATTTCACTCTCATTACTTCCAAATGCTTTAATTCCCAGTCTCTCCACACGTATTGGTTCCAAACCTAGCTTAGCAACAGCCTCTGCGGTAATGAATGTTTTTTGACTTCCATTGTCAAACAACACCCTTACTCTACACTCTTTTCTTGCATTCACATTGGCTAAGGCTGTTTGCAGAGCTACCTTTTCCCCTGAACCGGCGGTATTCCCTACCCAGGAGGTGGCATTAGGGTCTAAGCTGGGTACACTTGAAGTTGCTTGCGCTAATGAATCCCTTTTAACAGAAGTTACATTATCCATACTCCTATTTGAACAAATAGCAACGTGATGTCTTCCCTTACAGACTGAACAATTTACTCTACTTTTGCATTGGAAACTACGATGGCCAGAAGCTAAACAATTAAAACACTTAGCATACTTTAGTAGTATGTTCTTACGATCTGTGTAGCTCTTGAATTTCTTGCAGCACTCAGCAGGATGCGATTCCAGGCAAAAAACACATTTCTTCTCATATGATTTTCCAACAAACAGCGCTGATGCAGATGGCTTTCCTCGAAATTCCATTCTACGACTGCTTAGGCTTTGCTGTTGCAGTGGCTGAGGTTGTTGTTGTTGCTTCAAAATTGGGACATGACTTTCTCGCACTTCCAATTCCTTCTCCAGCGAAATAATAAACTCATCAACTGTCCAATCTAAATGATTAGTTCCAAACCTGATCATGTTGTGCCGTATCACTTCGGGAATTTTTTCCATCAAAGTAGGCACCACTACACTCGAGTATGATTCCTTGTCTACTCCCAGCGCTTCTAATCCCCTGTAATGCATTTCGACGGTGTCGTGTAAACTGCGCAGCCTGGTGACGTTTTTCTCGCTAAAAACCGATGGCAAATTTATCATTTCGTTGATGTGTGTACGCTTAATGACGCTTGGCTTCGCGTATCTTTTCTGAAGCAAGTCTATTGCCGCTTGGTAATCTGCTTCTGTTAACGGAAATCCTGCAATTACCGATCTTGCTGGCTCTTCTAGAAAACTTCGTAGGTATTTAAACTTGTCTACATTTGCCATGTTTCCATCATCGTGTATGGCACTCTTGAACGAATCCCAGAATTCCTGCCAGTCTGTCACTCTACCTCCAAATTTCTTTAGCTCTAGTTTTGGAAGCCTTACTTTCACTCTCTTGGAATTTTTAGCAGATTGGCCAGAACGCTCGGAATCGACGGTTTTCTCTGAACACAAACTGTTCTGCGAACTAAAACGCGAGGCTGATTTCAAACTTCCTCCGCCTGACTCTTCATCTTTCTTACTAAAGTATTCGTCTACTTTTAGAAGTGCTAAGGTTGCCTTTTCGTTAATTTCGCTGGCGTCTACAGCTTCTCTTTCGCATTCTTCGTCGGAGGCATCAGTGTCGATCATCAAATCTCGAATCTCACGATCCAGTTGTTTTACCTCTACGTAGCTTTCATTTATGTTTTGCTTCAACTGTTTCAAAATGATTTCTGTATCAGAATCCCGTTCGTCTGCTTCTAAAACTCGATTCAGCTTGTTCATGAGCTTTGTCAACACTCCACGGATGGGACTTCTTCGCTTTCTCAATCTCTCAATCGTTGCCATGTTTTCAATTAATTAAATCCGGCTCGCTGTGGATCCATATGTTGGGAACTTCATAACCCAACACTCCGCTGGTTACACTCTTAGGCAACGACAAAGAAGAAGTCAAATTTTATCTCAAACATTTTTTCTGGCAATCAATTTACACTCGTGTTAGTTCAACTCTCCTCGTAACTACTGACGCAAAAAACATAATACATGAAACGTAGTTAATTGTGTAATAACCCCTCTGTGAATAATATCAACTCTCCGTTATGGTAACATTAGTATAATTAGGTAGTAACATAACAAAACAAAATTTCTGCATTAACAATAATTGGTTGCTAGGCGCATGCAACCTCGCAGCTTTCCACAACAGAAACTGATGTTAGTGTACCAAGACTTTTGGCAAGGATCGTATCTAAATTTCAATGACAACGTTGATGCTAACGAACAGTGTATCACTCTTTACCATAGAGATACTATCTCTATGCTCTTTACAAACAGAGCAAATAGGATTTTCAGAACAATAGGATTTTTAAGGAGTTGTCATGTTTCTTTAAAGTGAGAGGACTTTAGCTAAAGGCGCAAAAGATTATTGTGGAGGATATGCCTTTCAGATGCATACATTGGGGCAAGGAACAAGGGGTTCAAAAGCCGCGAAACTAGGCAGAAATCATCAAAAAGCCGCACTCAGTAATGGGAAAAGTGCAATGACGCGGTCAGGATGGCAATACGTGCCGTGATAACATATGCCAGACTCCACGGTTATAAGAAAAGGAAAACATTGCTAAAAGCATCTCATTCTGTTACATAGAATAGCCTGTTGCGTTGGTCCAAATATTATTCAACGCCTTTGATCGTATTTTTCGTGCAAACGCTTCTACATGCTAAAAAACCGTAAACCGTTGCCAATTTACACTGAAAGAGGCAAGACGCTTCTTATGCCGAAGCCGTAATCTGCAGAAAACCTATTGCCAAATCCGTAGGCATATAATCAGCATATAAAAAAGGGTCAAAGCTGTGAAGCCCCCTACATTAATTCGATATTTGTTATTCCCTTATTCTTAAACCTCCACCTGTTTCTTCATAAGATTCCTTAGTATGTCTGAATTCTTAGTAATGGCAAACTACAAATGTATTTTTAACCTTAAAATTATATAACCTTAGATCAGCTAGAACTCTTGATTTTCCTGAGAGCGGTTTCTTAGCAGCATATGGGAACCACTTCCAATCACTGCTGTGACGTTTCCAGTGTCCGTGGGAAATTCTCCTGGAACTCTCGTTCAAATCGGATACTTCCTGGGACGAGTCTACGCTTCGAGCTCAGTATATTTAATAATGCTCTTTAATAAAATTACATTGATATTCTCTAGCCTTTAGATGTTGTAAAGTTCTTAAAGTTTTACTCAAAATTTACCCAGGTTCAAGTTTGCCAAATTAGTCAGAACACTTCCTTAAAGTACAGTAAAATGACTGATAATTGACTGATATTTTCTAACGCAAGTACAGTTGAAGTTGGCGAAATGACCCGACTTTGCGAATGTCCGACTCATCCGTTGTACGACTTTCAACTTTAATAAGGTAGGAAAATCTAATGGGAGTTAAAAATCAGTCCGACTTAGAGAAAGTCTGATCAAACGGGATTTAACTGTAATCAATTTTTACAGCTTTGCTTATATTGAAGTCAGCGAGCATAAATATTCACAAAAACGTAAAAGACGACCAGATACACAAATTACCTGTCATTTTTCTTAGCCTAACATTGCTTAGAAAAAATTTGCTATAGCCATTAATATAGAGATCAAACTTTTTTCTATGTCAAAAGTAGCAAGTTATTGATTTTATAGTAGAAAATACATAAAAGCGTACAGTATTTAAAGGAACCTAATATCATTAGCGTTATGACTAACCAAAAGACTATACCAAAGGATATTTATGATTATGATATAATTTGCCCATGTTTTCTAAGGAACCAATGTTTCTATTATCCCTAAGGACTTGTCCTAATTTCTGAATCACTTCGGCCCTCCCGAGTCGCTGCGAGGGGGCAATATTTTCTGTAATTTTGAAACTTGCGACAGGGTAACTTTTCCTGCTACGAATATTTTGTAGCTACGAAATCTTTAACACCAACTTCCGCATTTTCATTTAAAAACACTACTCAGCGTTTTAAAAGTACATTTTCATACAAGTGAAAACCAATCCTTCATCTATTGCTTGATACAAGTCACACAGGATATTTTGTCTCGAATGATAGTAAAGATTTATACAATTCCACAAACTGAGAGATTTTAATCAAAAGTTTGTACACTTCTTAAACATGGTTTCAAATTAAACGTTTTGGTAAAAAGGGTATTTTCAAAGAATTATAAACTCCTAATCTACACACCAACACAGTCAGAGGAATGCAGGCTCAATTAAGACGAATGTGCAGAACGCATGCTAGGATAAAGCATCTGGGGCTAGTTCAGCGTACAAGTGCCTAGAGGGCGACAGCCCCTCATGTCCCTGTTTTTTCAAGGTGTTTCTTTTAAGAAAATAATGTTCATTTTACTGGTGACAGAGTTGCTGACGATCAATGTTGACAATACACAATACTCCAAGGAAATACCCCAAAACACTAAAGTAAGGACCAGGAATTTTTCCATTTTTTTCATTGAAAATGGGGCTAAGTCGATAAGTCCCTGTGACATCAAACACCTACTGCTGCCACCTTCATGGCCTTTTGCTTATAGTCTCGAAAGCTTACAGTGAATGTCTGTTTTCTCTTGCTTCAGGTCCACTAAGGATTTTTTCTTTTCCATAGGTCCCGGAGTCCTTCATATGCTTGTATATCCTTTGTTTTCCGCTGCATGTTATTGGCGGCATGTGTTCCAAAAGATCATATCCACAATATCATATTTATTAGGGCATGGAAGTCCAGTTCACTTGCTAACAATAAACTTGGTAAATTATTTCTTCTTGCCACAACGACAATACAAATATAGCAAATTTTCCACTGAGTTTTTGCAAAACCCCATTAAATTCTACTTTTTTACTGTCACTTTTTGACCTTTTTCTTGCCTAAATATCTTTATGCCTGGTGAATGATTATCATGATAAATCCCCTTTCCACAGGTTGTGCCTTCCTCCGAGTTGTAAATGCTTTCTACATCCCTGAACATTTCTAATAAGAAATATAATTGTTAGTGACAGAATTCAGGACACAATTTCAAATTTTTTAAACACATTGAAAACTCACAGGACCTATAATGATAATGATAATTTATTTATTTAATTATAGCTATTCCGTCAAGGAACGAGACTCTTTTATTTCTAGTGGCAAAGAATGCCAGAGTTTGTGTCAAGTGTACCTGATTGTCTCTATACCATACGCATTTGTGCGTGGAATTCGTACTGACAGATTGTCTCTACATCTCGGACTATATGAGAATTTCTTCTCCACGAAGATTTCATCCATGAATTTAGGATTAAGTTATGTTTGGTCCCATGAATTTATCAGATTAAGTTTGGCCTACCTTCGTAAAATACGTATACTGGAAGCAAGTTAGACAGGACATATAGCCTGACAATCTGACATTCAAGCTAATGTTTGCTTTCTCAACGGATTCTGGTAGTAGAGAGTTCAGGCTTTCATAATCTGCCAGGTGACTTTTTTGAAAATGCCTGGATGTCACGTGACTGATGACGTCATTTAACGGCAAAAAGTCAGACAAAATCATCGTTAGCTCCTCACTGAAGGGTTATTTTTAACGCAACTTACATATTTTGACTCGTCTCATTGCAAGCTTTCAAATGATATATATATTTAAGCAAGATTTGCCGACATAAGTATTTTCATTATGACGTCATAAAAATTTTTGCATGACGTCATCAAATATTTTATTGTCATAAAATGATACGTTAGCATAATTTTGTTGTAATATGACGCTTGCTGTCAGCAAAAGCTTTTCTTCCATATGTTTTTCAATCAAAATAATTAGTATTCAGTTGAATTTGTGCCAACCGCAAAGCCAAAGTTCAAATAAAGAAGTCGCTTCTTCCTCCGAAGTTGCAAAGTCTTGCTCCCACTTTGAATCCGCATTTGAATGTTACACTAAATCGGAAGAATGTCTTGGCAATATAGGCTATCCAAGATGTCCTACCGATGTGCTGAAGGTGCATGACTTTTTTCAAAAAGGCTATCTTCTGCTGCGAAATAAGGCCATCCCATAAATAATATACTCCATCTGGCATTTTTCTGATGGTGGATTTATATATTGATTTGGCTCCTTGCACATGAAATTAAGAAGAACAGCTTTATCTCCTTGACACAGTACACCTTCAGGAGTTGCAAGACTAGAGTTATGGTTTTGATGGGATATGAAAATGCCTTTTCGATAGAGGCAGCCTTGCCAATCACGAAAGCTTGGTGGTCTTTGTTCATTATTGAGACTGCTTTCGCTGTTTTCCTGGATCTTTGTGCCCCAGAATGCAGCTTAAGTTTCTGACTATACTTTCGTTGCCAGCAACGACCTACAATTCGAGCAAAATAGCTCATTTCTTCGAGATATTTCTTCCATGTTAGCGCTAGTGTCATCAGTCCGTGAGAACATTTTGTAAAAACGCCACCAGAAAACGCCAAATGGAGATTTGATGAGACGGCCTGAGTTCGTAGCATCAAACCCAAGGAAGCATTCAGTGTTTGGTTCAAGAACATCCATGGATGTGCTAATCCTCCTTATGAGGCTAAAGCAATGGAAGTGGAAACAAAGTCAACGCTAAATATTTAGAAACAGCACACGAGCAAGCAAACGGCAAAAGAGAGTCATCAAGGCAAGTGCATATAAAAAGTGGAGAGCAAAAGATACTCCTAAGTAAGAAGAGTATTTTTACATTGATGAAAAAAAGAGAATCTTATGAGACTTGCTCCCGAATTCTTTCGAAGCGCTGAGGGTCACAGGCCCCTGACAATTCAATTTATCGTAGCTTAAGGAGGAGAAGCATCGGAGACTTCAAAAAGCAAGTAGAAGTCCCTCCAAGATGTAACCACAAAAAGGCGGAAACCAGAATATTTTGCATGGTAACTCGAAAGATGCAAAAGTAGTTGCTGTTGCAAAAGATACTGATTTGTGCTGCTTGTTCATGCAACACAGAAGTGCAAACCCACAAATTAGTGGTTTATGTGCATAAATAACAAACAAATCGTCAAGATTTGAGGCATCGCTGAAACTTTTGGTTCCAAAATTTGCTGTATTTTATCACAGATTAATGGAATTGTGGGCTGAGACAACTGCATATAAGCACAACATTGATCAGGTTACTGTGAGAAAAGCTAACGAAGAACCAGAAACAAGTCATCATTAAAAGTCTCTCCGAAGGAGTTATCGCAAAAGC